CCTGGTAAAGAAAACATATTTGTGTTGCAATTTAGCACAAGAAGTTGTAGTCCAAGAGTTACATTTTGCCTGTTAGACATGAGGAAGCAAGATTTGCTGGGTAATATCTTTCATTAAACCAACCATTTACTTGGGAGAGATGTTAGACAAGCTTTTGAGCACAAAATGTCCTCCTTCAGGTCTGGGAAAGAGGCAGGTACAATTTATGCTAAATACCAGGTATAGAAATTTAAGTAGACATTCAACTTTAAATAGCTATTCTATATTAAGCAGCTGAGGTTTTTTTTCATATGTAAATACTAATGACCTAAAAAAGGGATACAGTCAAGGGATCTAATTTGATCTGTGCTGTAAATAACACACAGATTAAGAATTCCTAACCATGTTATTAAAAGTCATATATTGTATTGTCTTGAGATAAGTTCTTATTATGTTATCTGTTATAGATCTGTAAGTAAAAGACCAGATGGCATGTCATATTTGCCTTAAATTATTATAGCATTGTATCCAAGTTGCACCAATTCTATTGAAATAGCTGACATAAAATATCAGTTTTTAAAGAATAAAATACAAAATAACTTAATATCATAGGCTTGTTCTAAACTGACAGAGGACAGTTAAGGTTTTATTTATTCTGACCTTAAAGAACAGAAAAGCAATAGTGAAAAATGAAGCAAGCATATTTATGTACTGAACTGCCCCACAAGCCAGCCTCCAGGGAGCATTCTGCACAGAAATACATTTTATTACTAAATACAGGTACTAAATAGACATATTTTATTAGTAAGTAAATGTGCTAAATTTATTACTAAATAAATATAATATTAAAATAGTCCCTCATCACTCACCATGAAATCCACTGGCATTCCTGTTTCACTGAAAATATTCCAGAATGCATAAATCTGTTTTAATTCAGCAGGAATGAAAATGTCCACATATGGCTTAAAAACACTAATCACAGCATCTGACATACTGTATCCAGAGACTGTATAAACCTACTATAAATTCAGAATATGCTATTTAAGTGTCTTGTACTTAAAACAACTTAATCCATCCTCTCCTGACCCATCCTTAGTATTTTAAGCCAAAATGTATTTCAAGGATAAGTATTTTTCCTTTCCAGATCAAACAAATTCTTAGATGACAAAAACAAAATGCAGATGTATCCTTCAGGTAGGTGAAATGCTAGCAAAATTGGGTGAGCGAGCCAACTCACACATTAATTTGGTGTATTATTTGGTTGCTCTCTCTTAAGACAAGTTTTGGAAGCCTTTCTATTTCTCTTTTGTAGAATGACAAGAAGGACTTGGGCATGTCAGTATACCATTTATAAATATAAGACTCTTAAAGGGATTCTGAGATATTTCCAATTATGTGCATTTCAAAATCTCCAAATAACAGGGTTAAAAGCCCAAACAATTTATATTTAAACTAAATATTTTGTTCATAAGTAGCAAAAACATGCTTTCTGAAGATTTAAAACAGATACATTAATATATATATTTTAAAAATATATTTAGCGCAAGTTGTAATTAAATAGCATTAAATATTTGTATGCATATTGATCAACTTAGTGGTTACTTCATGCCAAAGGAAAAGATAACTATAATGTCAAGATTCAAAACTATGTAATTATCTCACATAAGCCTTAAAAATAGAAAGAACTCATCCTCAGTGGTAGGTCTGGAGTGTTATAGCTATGACAGTACAAGAAATGAGAGAGGAAAGGGTTTTTATGGTAACTTTTATTGAACCAGTTGCATAGAAAGTCTCTCACAACTTATACAGTTGGTCCAAAAAAAAGACATCACACAAAAAAAAGCAACCCTGGCCTTTTATTCTCAGTGGGTGCATCTACACAAGGCATTTACTGCACATATACTAATTAGCTGCACAGTAGATGTCTTGGCATCTACATATGTACCCTTATGAGGCTGGAGTAAACTTAAATTTACTTTGCAGCAGGATAGTATTTTTAAATATAAATACTATCCTGCCGAGGAGAAAAAACTTTGCAGCAGCACATGTATAGACACCGGAGGGGCTGACTGGGGCATGAAAGTACTTTAGTGTGGGGGCTGCCTGCCAGCAAGCCCCATGCTGAAGCTCCCTTGCACCTCAGTCAGCTCCTCCACAGCACACTGACCTGAGGGGAACAGCCCCAGCTGGCAGGCTGACCTGCTAGCCAGGGCTGCTCTGACCCAGCTCCATATGCTGTGCTTATTGCTCCAGAGTTAATTGCTTCCAGGCGCACAGTCAAACAGTGCACTAGAGAGCAATAAATCTCAGCTTAAACTGCCCCGGAGTTTATTGCTGCGGATTAATAGCACATGTAGATGCACCCAGTTACATTTCCAGAGCTGTGTTTCAAGGCCTTAAACCTTCATTCATTTTCTTTTTTTTACAGCTGGAGTGGTGTAAAGCAGCATTAGTGCTAAGTAAATCAAGTTAAATGTTGACCACTTTTTCTTATTAATGATCTGCATGACATTTGTTGCAAGGCATATGAATCAGTTTCCTCACTAAAATCCAAATTAAGGAACTACTTTCTGCCTATTTTCTCCCATGTTTTGGTTTAAAATCCCTTCCCCTCATGTCTTGCAAAGACTGACCATTGAACTACTTATGGTAGTAAAGCTGAGTACATGCATAAACTTTGCCAGCGCCTGGCCCATAAGTCTCCTTGGACTTCAGTTTGGTCAAAATTTCATCCTTAGTATGCTGTACAGTGCTGTTTTAGCTTGATTTATTTTTGTTTTGTTTTGCTTTGTGTGTTTATGCTTTTATCTGTAAAACATACATGTAACTAAATCCTGACTAGAAGTTTATTAAACAAAATAGCATATAATGTATTAACCATTTTATTAATAAATATATATAAAAGAAAATAGAAAAAAAATTAAAAGAACATTCAATTTGCACAGTGAAGAACTCAAAATGTAGAAAATGCCAGAATTAGGCTGATCTGTATTTGGGCACCTTGTGTGTATGCTATGCAAAATAGTCTTTAATTATATTACAACCTTTTTTTTTTCCTGCAAGGCTCCTCTGTAACCCAGTGCACAAAATAGGTGATGCTCACTGACTGAGCATCTATTCCACATTTAGCCTTATCTTCATTGTTCAGTGTGTGTCCCTCTTCTTTACTACATGCTATTGAAAATTGCTTTGAATATAGGGTTACTAACTTATATGTGCTCATTATTACAGCATCAGAATGCTTCACAAAATGTATTTATTTTGACAATAACCCATGAGGTGAGAGATTACCATAATCTCCTGTAAAACAGGACTCTCAGGCTGCATTCAGATGAATGCAGCCATGCCACTAGTTCTGTTGTTCTCCATGCTGCAAAGAAGCAACACGGAAGGGTTTTTGACCCCTGGATATCCATCCCAGTACTGGACCCAGCCTCCCCACCTGGGGTAACTTGCCACAAGCCAGCACACACGTGGCACAGGCGTTCCCCAGGGTCAACTAGCAGTTGCGCAAGGTGTACCACCACCAGTTGTCCCCAGGGAATCAAATGTCCACACATGTCTGGACACAGCCTTAAGGTATTAAAATCAAATATGTTCACTAATTCTGGGTGCCCAAATATCAAAGTACTTAATATTCTGAAGGACTTTATATATTCGGAGCACAGCTCCTGTAACTTCAGTTGTGGCTGTGAGCACTTAGTGCTTTTGTAAAGTAGAATCCAGATCTTGAGTTGGCTACTCAGAAAATGAGCACGCAACTACAGTAGAACCCAGATTATTTGTACCTGGGTAGTCCACAACCCACTGAAGTCACAGTAGGTTAGCAAATTAAGGATAAGATGATCAGCTGTGTGCTGAAGCTTTTATTCAGAGGGTATCAGTAATGCCAACTGTTGTGAAACCGTAGCAAGACATGGGATTTCAGTCACAATAACTCCAACTCTCGATCTCCTGATCCAAACCTCAGATCTCTGGATTTTCCAGTCTGGTAAGTGGAGGAAAAGGGATGGGGGCAGGGGAGAAGGAGGCATGGGCTGCCTGCTGCAGGCTGGGGCTTTGGGCCCTGTTGCCTTGCCCCAGGAGCTCAGCTGCACAATGCCGTTGCCACCCGTTGGGTTGGCAGGAACAAGGGACACGCTGGTCACATGGCACATCCTCTGCCTGCCTGGTGGCAGGAGGCACACTGGGGTCATGCAGCTGAGATCCCAGGGCAAGGCAGCAGGGCGCAGAGCCCCAGCCCACAGTGGGCAGCCCACCTCTGCCTCCCCACCATGCCTCTGGATGACCTACCCCGGCCCCTGCTTCTGCCCTACTCCCTCCCTCACCTCAGGGGCCTTGATCTCGTCTTTGGGATTAGAAATACAACCCTGAAAAGTATCCAGGTTCTACAATAGTGACAACTTATGAAAAAAGTTACAGAAAAATGTGCTGGTACACCCTATAATAGAGGCAGGCTAGACAGCCTTAATGATCATTGATGAGACTGTTCTTTTTTTTCCCTGAAGTCTTCTCCATTGCTCACTATGTACCCTTCCAACTTTTGGACCAAATGAAGCAGGGTTCTACAACTAATTTTCTCCCTCACTCAAATCCTGAAGTCTCCCCAAAGCAAATGTATCCTACGTACTAAATGAGGCAGGAGCCCTTGTGGGGGGGAAAAAAAATCTATATCATAATGCATGTATACAGGAGGGCTGAATTTGGAGTAAAGTTTTTCAAGGTGCTCAGCACCCATTAACTCTCTTTCTGACATCAGTGGTAGCTGCTGGATGCTCAGCATTTTTTAAATCAAGGCCATTTATTTAAGTGCGTAAATATGGATTTAGAAGCCTACCTTTAGATAGTAGGGTAGGATTTTTAAAGTACCCAAGTGATTTAGATACTCGAGTATGATTTTTAAAAACATCCAAATGACTTATAAGCAAAAGTCTTCTAGATTTTCAATAGGATTTTTGCTTCTCATACTTAGATGCTTTTTAAAATCTAACACCTGTTCCCCCCAAAATCCAAGCTTTGTCTTATCTAAATAATGGGGCCCATCTACTTAACAGATGTAATGTTCACTTACCCTCAGCCATTCCAGAAGTATTGCTGGTATTAAGTTTGTTGAATCGAATTAGATTTCTTACTACAAGGGGAAGAAGAGATCTCAGGCCTCCTGTAAAAGCCATCTCTTCACTCTTGAACAGAAGAACAGTAATGTTGTTATAAGGCTTAAACACATAGCTGCATTTTACTAGTGCTTCAAAATCAAATTTATTGCAGGACATCAGTTTCAAGGTTAGTGTTTCATCGTCATATTCCGCAAAAATATCCTTCTCTGAGGAATTCTTAGTCTCAAGACAAAATGCAAATAACCAATTCAAAGGTTTGTTTCACGGAACAGTGTGTGATTAAAGGGAGTGTGGATCTCCTAACAAATGAATCAGAGTGCAGCTTATCTGTTTGGCTGGAATACAAAATCAAGTTAGCTTTTTTACAGCACTGTACAGTGTTATTATCTTTGTTAAGTTTTCAAATTCTAAAGTATTCATTCTGACAAACTTCTACTATTTTAGAACTGAAATAACATAAATGGGTTAGTCCACAAGTTAATTTACAGAATTGATTTATATCTGAAAAGGCCCTCAAATAGAATATTAGAAATTTTACTTGGTGATAAAAAATATATTTTTTAACATAGTTGTTTTCTTAATAGTTTAAAATAAATTGCACTTTGCAAAGTATCTACCATAGAGAAAAGGATAGTCTCATGCTGATTTTTCCATAGACATCAAGAGATTTAATTGATCTGTCATACAATGAGAGTTGATTTACACTGGGCAAACTGACCATAGTTACTTGTATTGCCTACTTGACCCTCCTTTGACATTTTGTTGAGGTAGGTTAACAGCTTTTACCTTGATTTAGGTAAAAAGTTCACACTGTGCTCTTTAACTTCAAGCAGCTTAACACAGGTAAAAGGAGTTAATTAGTTCTATACTGGAGAAAATCCTAAGAAAAGGTTAACTAATACATGTTACTTAGCTGTAAAAAACAAACAAAAAAACCCAAAAACTTGACCCTTTCCTTCTAAGCTAAACCTGAGAGAAGAGATACTCAGCTCTAATCATTAACCAATTCCAGTTATCTAAGACTAGGTTCCACTTCTCATTTTTATAAATAAAATTTGTAAAGAAACAAACATCCTCCAAAAAAATCAAAGTTTCTCACCTCCAAGGCTATTTTTACCTCTGGAGAAGCCATTTTTATTATAACGCTTTAAGAAGTAATGATACTTGTAAACATGGAAGACTCACTGCTGTACTTTTAAAAGCTGGTAAGTTAATGTACAATAAGGGGTGTTTTTTTTAGTAAATGTTAACTCTTCTGTTAAAATTCTCCAGTGTTTTGGGTTATTACTGTAATAGTATAAGATCTACAAGAACCTTTTCATAAGAGGTAATGCACAAATGGCTATGAGAATGTATATTTCTTGATAACGTATTTCTTGTTAATCTGCAAAGAGAATAGATGGGCCTTGATTATAAAATTCTCAGCAGATTTTATATCCGCATTTCAAAATTCCTCCAAAAGTATCAGGTATTCCAATGTAGCGTTCCGATTTGCTCAACTGTGAAACTGAGATTAGATTTTTTGATCTAGTTTTTTAACTTTCTACCATTAAATTTAGAGGTGTTTATATATTAGGTTGTCAGCCCAGGTAAATAATGTAGGAAAAAAACCCACTCTTTCAGTGAATTAATCCCTTTTCCTTAAATTCCTTCCTTTTCTCAGTTTATTTGGTAATTATTTTACAGGAATATGAGAATTAGACGCTGCAATGAGAACTACACATTGCCATGTTATCAGATACTATAGTAATACTTTTGATAACAGAGATAGAATAGATCTATCACTATGTTCCAAAATTTAACTGCCAATTAGAACTACTTTGAAAAATCTTGATAACTGCCCAGAAGGATATATTTTACCAATATAACTCCTATTTTTATAAATGGCTCCAGAGAAGACCCAGGGAACTACAGGCCAGTGAGTACAAGTTCTGTTCCTAGTAAATTGGTAGTAACAATAATAATAAAAACGTATTTTAATATATGGATGAACAGGACTTGCTGAAGACAAATCATCAAGCCTTTATTAAAAGGAAGATCATACCTGACTGTAACAGCCTGGTATCTTAGGGGTTACCGTGATCTCCCCTAAGGCCCCCCCTTTACCATGCCAAGGTCCTAAAGGGCACCCTCAATTCTCACCCGCCACGTCTTTGATGGATAATATACAATAGGGAGGCTGCCTTTCCATCCTCTTGGACACGGTTTCTGGCTGTATATTGACCCCAGGGCTCCTGTGCCCCTGTTCTGTATTGAATGTTTCAGGGCACCCTCACCTTATGGGCTATGCATGGCTCCGACCATCCCTTTACCACACCCCAAGCCTTGCAGATGGAACTGACATTCTTCAGTCTCACACTGCACCCTCACTGGCATTCGGAGTCAGTGCACACCCCCCCCAACGCTGCACCCTCACTGGCGCTCGGGTCCCATGCTGCCGTGGACCCCCTATGAGGCCGCCTCTATCCCTTAATAGCCTCTCCCAAGACACTGGTCATCAAACAATAAACCAAAACACAAGCCCCTAGGCTATAACATAAACTCTATCCACCCGGCTATAACATTATTCCAGCCACTCCATGGGTGCTCCTTCCTTTACCCATCTCAGGGCTGTACCTGCAGCCAGGCCTCTCCCCTCTACTCACTCTGGAAGAGTGCCTTCCCCCTTGGCTGCTGGTGGGGAATTGCCTTCTCTGGTCCCAGCCCTGGGTTTATATGAGCCTAAGGCCCTGCCTCCTCCGGCCTGCTGACCAGGTGCAGGTGTGGCCAATTCCCTCATTAACTGGTTGTCCTAGCAACCTGCACCTGGGTGTTTATCTCTGCTCTACAAGTATCAGGCACCTTAGTGCCCTGCTACACTGACCTACCTACTGGAGTTCTTTGAGAACAATAACAAGCATTTGGTTCAGGTGACCCAGTCAGTTACTTCTCAACCTTTTGGCTAAGATCAAGTATTTTCAACCTGGCCATAGAACAGTGCAGTGGCAATAGGCCACAGAGGGCTCAGCCTCTATGGATGCAAAACTGAGCATCCTGGCCTATGCTGACAACCTCATCACCAGAGACCCTGAGCAACTGCAAAGGATGCTAGACATGAGGTCTAAGGTAGCCAAGTGGATGGGGCTCTGCTTCAATGCCTTCAATGCCACTCTGCACATCAACTACAGGAAGAAAAGCAACATTCTGGATTCCACCATCGCCATCCAGGGCAAACAGATGAGGTGCCCGAAGGATGGCGAGAGCTATCTCCACCTGGGAATGTCCACTGATCACTGGACAAAGCAGATGTCAGAAGAGACCATCTGTGGGATTGTGCAGGATGCCCACAAACTGGACTTATCCCTACTGGTCCCCTAGCAAAAGATAGATGTGGTAAACACTTTCTTCATTACCATATCTTGTTCATTCTGAGAGGTTTGGTAGTCCCCAAGACCCCATCAAGAAGGCAGACAATGAACTGAAGTGGCTGCTGAAGAAGTGGCTATACCTGCCACACTGGGCCAGCAGCAAGATCTGCACATCTTACCAGCAGGGAGGCACCAAAGTCCTCTACATGGGTGACCTCTGCAATGTCACAGTGGTCACCCATGCCTTCCACTTCCTGACCTGCCCCAATGAGCTGGACTATCAAGGCATGGAGCTTGGAAGAGCTGCAGGGGAGGGTCAGTTCCCAGCCCCCTGCCCCGATCTGTTGGTGGAGCAGCTAGCAGTGGATCAGGGATGGGACCTGCCCCTCTCCTGCAGTTCCTTCCAAGCCTCACGCTTCAATTGTCCAATCAGGACCTACCCCGACTGAGACAATGTGACAGTCCCCAGCTACCTTCAGGCTGCATGTGCAGACTTCCTCGTGCAGCCCAGAGCTGGCCAGAAACTCTTCCACTGAAAAACCAGGGATTGCCTACCAAGCCAGGGGCTCACTGCTAGCTGCTCCATCAGCAGATTGGGGCAAGGGACTGGGAACTGCCCCTCCCCTGCAGCTCTTTCCAAGCCCCTTCCCCTGATTGGGGAACCCCGACCAGGAGCTCCATGCTGCCAGGGCAGGGAGACATTGTCCCTCCCTGGGATCCAGTGGTGGAACCCATCCTGCAACAGGCAGCTCCCAGAGGCCGGGAGCAATGTCTCAGCCCCCGCCAGGAGATAGCTGTCTCCTGACCCCATGTTCCCTGCCAGCACCTGGGGTAGCACCCAGAGGGAGATAGAGCTCCCCCTGGCTGCTACAGGGGGATGGTGCAGGGCTGGAGGGGGTGGGACTAGACTGCTGCCAGGAACAGCAAATCTGGTCCTGCATCCCCACATGTGTAGACACCTGCCAGGGGTGGGTTCACTGTAGAGTAATTTATTCTAGAATAAACCCACCAAGCAGCATTTGCACATGTAGATGTACCCAAGGAGTCTTAGATGTTGTATCAAGTACTTGAATATTCATTAGAGTAGGAATTGAAACCCAGTTCACCTAGATTAGAGATTTAATTGCCAAGTTATAGCATCTCTCTCTCTCTCTCTCTCTCTCTCTCTCTCATTCCCTGCCCCACCACACCTCCAATTTAATTTCTCCCTGGTTCAATAATCAAGTATTTTATATGAATTGACAGATCTTCAATAGCTGAGATTTAAGAGGAGTCTATTGCAGAATATGGCATAGAGATCATGGCTTTCTCATGGGAGACATAAATTTAATTCAGGATAAAGAATTTGAACCCAGGTCACACTCATCCCTTTACAGGCTTTTGGGCTAGGGACAGATATTCAAAAAGCCTAAGCCTAAATTGATTCAACATGTTAGTCTAACCTGGCTAGGCTGAACCGGTTTGTAACTGGACAGACATTCTATCTGAACTGAGGAAATTCAGGCACATGCCTGCAGTGGCTCAGACTAGAAGCTGGGGGGTGCTAGAGCAGCCCTCCCTTCCCTTCCACAAGACTGAGTTTAGGGGAATTTGGCCAGGCCCTGGCAGGATGCTATGATTAGGGAGGTCT